ATGGTATATGGTGTTTGGTCTTCCATCCCATAATTGGAGACCGCTGCGGGCATATAATTTCCTATGATATAATGAATTGATGATTGTCCCTTTTATGGATCAGAAACCATGTGTTGACTATGGCATGTGATTTTTCAGACATGTTGTTTTTCTAGAGTGAAGATGTCAGACTTGTGTGCTTGAAAGTAAGTGGTGATCCTTTTTTTCCAATGAAATCATTTCAATCCCAACGAATGTCTTGACTTCAGACTACTTGGAGGCTTGGAGCAACCTGATGTATTTGATCATTTCACATTGATTGATTGAGCCAAATTTGGGGGACTCCACTGGCTCTGCTTCCCTGTCAAGATTGAAAGTCATCGTTGACTCGTTGACCAACGATTTTCTGGTTCGACAGCGCCAGGGAAACCCTACCTGACTCACCCGAAGAATTGATTTTTCAGTTGCAGATGATACATCATGATACATCCCACTATCTTGATCAAACCAATCCGAAGCCTCCCAAAAGGGACGCCAAACTCCCACTGGAAGATGCGTCATCTCCCCCAACCTTGCTCCCTTCGAAAAAGGTGCAAAACATCGACGGGCCAAAACATGTGTCAAACGTGTCAAACTCTATGATTTTACTACAGTTACTAGGGGGGTGTGAACATGTCCAGATTGAATAATTCGTTTGATGCTTCTTCAACCATTGGCTGTTGCTGTTCATTTTCAACCATGTTTTGGATGATGATATATGATGATTTTCAATGACACGACCTATTTCTTTGAATGGGTTGACATGTCAGACCATTATTCATTGGTAAAATCACCAATTTTGGATGGTTACGTAGAAGGGTTAATGCCGTGAATAATTTTGGCCCATACCCATATCAGCTATATAAAACAATCCAAAACACATGTCTCATACCAGCGAGATTACATGGCAAAATGAGCTTTTGTATTTCTGGCAGTTGAATCTCCCTTCAAGCCCACATCGTCTTGCATGTGTTCAATTCTTTTCATATCTTTCCGAACACATCATAAATCCAATCATGGGAAGGAAAGAGAAACGAAAGACATCGAAAAGCAGCTATATGAATGAATCTAAATGAATCTAAATGAATATAAATGAATATATAAATGAATATATACATGATTATAATTATAAATTATTATCAATGAATAGAATCAGTTCAATCAGCTGCAAATCCCTTCTGTTGATGTTGTGTTTTCAAGCATTTCGTTTGGTTCTTCGACCCATCCCCAGCAGAATCCCTAGGTGCGAGGTGCCTCTCTGGCACGGCACCTCATCATTGTCACCAGGGTTTGATTCCCGGTGGGACACCTTGGGAAACGTTGGGAAATGATGAGGTTTTCCGTTGCAAAAATATCCCATTGATATTCCCTGTATGTCCATTGATATGCCATGAATATCTCGAAAAATACCATCTGGTTATTGTTACATAGCCATTGAAAGACCCACCATTTGTTATAGGTAAACCATCTATTTCTATGGGCCATGGCTTCCATGGCTAATGGCTATGTGAAATAACCAGAGGGTATCCCATTGATGCCAGAAAGCGACATTTCATGTGGATCCCAGAAGTTGGAAATTTGACCATCAGAAATGGTGGTTGGTGATGACTGGAACCAGGGAATTTTGAATGACTTTCCAGAAACAGTTGGGAATGGAAAAATCATCCCAACTGACTTTCACTAACTCATATTTTTCAGAGGGGTTGGCGAAAAACCACCAACCAGATGATGTACAATCCTATCCCCCTGGAGCAGCTTGAACAAGGCAAGCCAAAATGGGGCCGCGTGCGCCATGCATTCCGTATTTTTTCCACTTGGATTGGTGGTTTTTGTCATAGTATATCCAGGCTGGATCCCCCAAAAAGATAGAGTAATTCACCACTATGGATTTCTTAATAACCAGAAGGTAGGATAGAAAGACGTTTCATAAATTTCTGGTGGTTATTTTTCTCACTGTTAAATCCGTTAATCCCATCCCCCTAAAGATACTAAAGAGCCCCATAGTGGCATAGTGAAAAGTAGGGAAACTACATCGTTGGAACCATGAAAAAAAGGGGCGGTAAAAAACTGTGATATGAACAGGGGATGGGATTATACCCTCAAGGGTTGGATATTTATCATCATATATCCCTAAATTCTCCCCCAGTATACCACAGTTGTGTCGCCATTATTAATATCTAATTGAGCAATTTAAGAGGGAAAAAGGTGAAAAAGGCTACATTTTTCTAGGTGAACTAAGATAATTCCCCAACCTGAAGCAAGAACATCTGGTGATTTCCCGAAACCTCCCATCATTCCAGTGAGGTCACTATGCCTGGCTGCTGGGTCTGACCAGCTCAGATTGATCGGAACATCTCTGGCTGTTTCAAATGTTATTCTTGTGTTTCAAGCATGCAAAAGGGATCAAAAGGGATGATTTTTCCTGAGATGACCGACATGAGGGGTTAAAACATGTTAAAACCAGCAACCAGATCAAACTCTTAGGAGGATTCGGAACTTTTCAAGATGCTGGGAACAGCCCATCGGAATCCAGGGATTGCAACATGTGTCATGGTATGTTTTCAAGAAATTGATCATGACATATCATGACACAATATGACACAGATACCACAGGAGCCACTTCGAAAGTGATGGTTTTTCTCCTTACACGGACGAGATTTTTTGCTGTTTCCATTACGGTTGAATCCCCGAGATTTGAATCTTGTTTTGGCAAACTAAAAGGATGGAAGTTAGTGTAAAATATTGAACTGTAGAATATGATGTTTCCATACTAAAAAGATGTTTTGTTAAAATATGAGTGTCAAATCCTATTCACCCACATTAACCCCAGGTTCCATGGGGGAAACTCTCAATCTTTCCTCCCTAGAAAGATCGAAATCCACCCAGAACACGCCGACGTTTTTACCCCCGTGATTTTCCCTTGTGGAGCGTCGTGCGCGCCCAAGGGACCACCTCGCATTGTGCTGTTGAGAGCGCGGTGTGGCTCCTGGCATTTTGGGGCGATGTTTTGGAGGCTGGATATCACCATGAAAATCACCATAAAAATCACCATAAAAATGGATATACCCTCTGGTAAACTAACATAACTATGGCAAATCACAATTTTCAATGGGTAAATCCACTATAAATCACCATTTTCAATAGCTATTTTAAATTACCAGAGGGTAATTTGATATATGGCTTTAGGATGATTTAGGATGATTTAGGTCACCCTACATGATTTTACTTCAGGTCTGAAAAATGGTGAGCCACTTTTTTCGATTTAGGAGAAAGGGGAGAAAGGGAGGATTCGATGGCTACTGTGATGTGGATGATGTGGATCATTGGTGCCTTAAGCATGCTGCGCTTGCAGTCAGTAATTGCAACCACTGTGACATCCAGGTTGCTAGGTCCTGACTTAGAGTGGGAACTCCGAAAGGCAAAAGCAGTTGATCAAATGTGTCTGTTTGATTTGGAATTGCTTGAATGGAATTTGTTGCCATTTCTGCTTCTCGGTTTCGATAGTTCTTCTGTGTCCCAACCAGTTGGGTATTGTCATGTTCAATGGAAAAACATTGGAAAACAAAAGAAACATCACAAGACAGAATGCTGAATTTTTCTTCGGTCAACTTTAGATAATGGAACCTAGCAGTCACTGATTTGTTTAAGGATGTCAAGGAGTCCATTGAAGCTCGGGTTTCTTCGATGTTCAGCACATTGCCCGCTAAACCCCGGATGTTTTTTGGGCATATTTTCCTTAGACTTGCCCGGCAGAACCTCTACATATGCGCAGATTCGTGCTCCAAAGAAGAATAGATATACCATGATACACCGGATATATGTCCAAACACCATGACACTTGGGGGTTCATTGGATTGTAGTTTTCACAAGTTCAGAAGTGATCCCCACTCAGCTTCCCCTGCAACTCAGCCCTCGGCGCGCCATGGGACGTGACAAGCAGCCCCAAGACTTCGAAGAGCACCAGATCGCACGGCCCATTGCCAGAGCTAAGTGGCTGCTGGATCCAGATGCTACGACGTCAGTGACTGAAGTCGTTGATATCACAGAGCCCTGGGGAATGGTCGATTTTCGGGTGATTTTTCATCTTGAGCTGTTTTCCCTTGTGATTCCATGGCTGAAGCCACCAAAAAAGCACTGGGGGAACCTATTGGGAGGTATGATGTTTTTTTCCTCACGTTTCATGGCCAACAAAAGCCATTACCCTGTGGTAATTTGTTTCATAGCTATGAGAATCACCATTTTGAATGGGTAAATCCACTATTTCTATGGCAATTTTCAATAGCAAACTGTAACAAATTACCGGTATTTTGCCAGTTCCTAAGGAGCCCAAAGACATCCATAGCATCTTGGCCAACTTGGCCTCTGCGAGCTCCGATGAATTGCTGCAGCTGCACACCCTGAACGGAGCACTGAGGGATGGTGGTCATGACGCTGCAGAGGATGCCTGCAGATTGGGCGGCATCCGGATTTCCATCGACATGTTGAAGTCGAAGAGACCTGAGGTTTTCCATCTAAATCATCTAATTTCTGATGTCAAAATCTGTCAAAAAGACCAGTCGAAAACAGCAACATTGCATAAAATTGCTGGGATTGATGGATGTTCATCGCCGCAAGATCTATGGAAAATCATGAAAAATCCCCATCAAAACTGCTGGAAAATCATAGGGTTTTCACTCATCCCCGGATCCCCAGGTTCTGGAGAAATCCCTGGAAGCCTTGTGGCTGCTGGTGGATGATCATGACAGCTGTCAGGAATTGATTCAGAGGAACGGCCACCACGAAATCTGGCGGATCCTGAGACGACATCGAAATGACCAGTTGGCCAGCAATGTCTTCAGACTCGATGGCTTTGTTCAAGATCTGGAAAGGTTGAGCTGATGTGTTTTTAGCATGTGTTTCATTGGTTGGCTCATATGTTTTTCTATGTGTGCTTGAGGTCGACTTCCTTTTTTTGGGGAATGTGTTTTTTGGGATGGATTTGCTTCAGATTGATGGATAGATATTGGCATTACCCGGTATCAAACATTGGATTGTGGTGATGCTCTGACGGAAAAAAAAACCTTGGGATGATAATTGGGAAAATCCATGAAAATCACCTGGGTTGCTGTAGAATCGGTGTAGATTCTCCCTCTGCTCGTTGCGCAGAAAATTTGGGGACATCATTTTTTATGGTCCTCAGGGTCCTCTGCAAATCATAGCAAATCTAAGGATTGATGGCTGAAACTATTTTTTATGGTCCCCAGGGTCCTCTGCAAATCATAGCAAATCTAAGGATTGATGGCTGAAACTTTATATGGTGAAAGCCGGTCCTCCACCTTCTGGAAGGATGGTCTGGACGGTCATTTCCTGTCGGAAGCCCTTGATGCTGGGAGCGGTTTGATTTTGGGTGAAAGTTCATCCAGCCATGAGAAAAATGGGGAGAAATCCAATTCTTATGAGTAGTAGGGTTCCATGCACCTTACGCAATTACAATCATTCTGATGCTGAAAGTGCCATTGAGCAAACATTAATTTTAATATATTTTAATCCAACATGGTCGTTTGGTGTTGATTTTAAAACCATCCAATCGATGGAACACAATGCGGATTGTTTTTTTCCATAAAAGGGGGCCACCATGGGCCACCCAAGATTGGTGATGAATTTCCATGAGATATATATTATATATATATATAAATTATATATTCCAATTATTCCATGGTTTCGGTTTCAGTTATATTCCAACGATTGATTCAATTCAGCGACCTGTGATATCAGATCAAATTATATCCCATCGAGCTTCCCACAACACATAACCATCATATCACCACATTGAAAATTAATGATATCTATATATATATAGGAATTCCATTATATCCGCATAAGAACTCCCATAAAAAACCATGATATCCCCATAGGAATCCCAGAAAAAACTTCCAAACTTCCAAGGATTGGTCCATCCAAGTGGCTCTCTCCAGCCACTCCAGCCATACCTTGGGCTTTGTTTGCGACGTCGCAGCATTGTGGCTACAGAGGTGCCCTACGGGCCTCGAAGCAGTGAAGGCGCTACTGCATAACGTGCCAGCCCTGTTGCAGGCCGCGAAAAAATGGGGAGACTAAGATGGGACGATTATACTTATTGAAAAATGTGGTAGTATATACAGTATACATATACATATATATACACATACACACACATATATATATAATTATAATTATTTAATTGACCATAATGAGCTCTAATTGCAAATACATTTTTATACACACGGATATTATATATATATTCGAATAATTACGATTAATTCTGCTTAATTATAGTTTCTCCAAAACTCCTCATAGTTCACCATACGTGCAGAAATGATCTACATGTGGATTTGTGTCATGAATCATGGCCAATTACTATGGGTTCACTCTTCACCAGCGACCATTGGGAGTGTTTTGCCCTCTGGTAAACAAACATAGCTATTGAACATGGCCATAGAAATAGTTGAGTTTTCCCATTCAAAATGGTGATTTTCCAGTTCGTTATGTAAACGTTTACCAGGCCGGGTAAATGTTAGGCCGCTAGGCCATGGCGGTGTGCCCCAACAATGCCCTGCTGCAGCACGGTTGCCGCCTCTTGTGGGCCATGGCAGAAGTCACCAGCAGGGCTCAGCATGTGCATGCGCGCTGCTGGCCGGAGTCCTTGGGGCAACCCACACTGAGGGCTGCATGGCTGGTGTAAAATGACTGGCTGGACCTGGCTGGTGGTTCCAAAATGGAGGAATTCAATGGATTTCATTGATTTTACCATCGAAATGTTGGTTTCAAAATCTGTTTTGTGTTGTTTTTAGATGTGTTTTGTGCGTGTTTTTTTTTTAACCATCCCAACTGGCATGTTGCTGGAAACAGATGGATTATTGAAGCATGTTGAAGATCTACACCTAGGATGATCTCAATTGATTACAGTGATATTCATGGGATGGGTGGAAACCAACAGCCAGTAAATGTGGTTAAAACGATAATAAACCACCCCATTTTTGGTGGTTTATACCACCTATTTATAGTAATTTGGAGGATAGTTTGTTATTGCTTTAACCACATGAAATTCATGAAATGTGTTTTTCTTGATGTTAATTAAATGATGTTCCTATTGGCGAATCCACCAGAAATCATCCTTTGACTAGGTGATTTTTTGAATGCTTATTCTCCCGTTCGCGAAGCCACCAAAAATGAGAATGTTTTAAAACAAGTTGAGGTTTTCAACAACAACTGTTTTGATTGAAAATCGTATGGATCTGAACGTTTTTCATCACATGTTTCCCCAATGTTTCATTGGTGCGAAAAATGCCACTTTCCAAGGCTTTGGAGGAGATGAAACACATGGACTTACCACCGCAGGTGATGCACTACCATGCCATGGCATTGTTGATGGTGAAGCGAATGATGGTTGGCACTGAAGATTCTGAAGCAAAGTCTTCGGCATCGTTGGATAGTATGGATTGAGGCGAAAAACAGCGGCTCTGCTGTGGTGACGTCGGTGACGTCGGTGACGTGCATCCCCCAAGGCCATGTGTGAGCAGGGCCAACCATTGGCACAAAGCAGACCCTTGGCCGCGGTGACAGGGATTTTCGGATGGAGTTTGACCATGATTCCTGGTGATTCCGTCCATGGGGGTGCAATTGGGTTGATTTGTTGGGGAATTTAAGCCCCAATAAGCCCCATAAGCTGGGATATGGGGCGAGAACTATGGGAAAAAAAACGCGCAAATGGGTGACATATACATCCAAACAAGCCGGCATCGCGAGGCTTGTTTGTTGATTCATGTTGATTCGTTGCTCCGAGTTCTGATATGACAAGTAAAATGAGTAAAATGGCAAGCTTTACCAGGCACAAACCATGCTCGCTTTTACCAGATGAATTGGGGATTCCAACCCGGAGGTTGAAACATGTTGAAACCTCCAAGCTGTCATGGCTGGTTACCCCCATGTCCATGTTTTTGCAATGGTTACTTATAAGATCTTATATCATCTTATCTAACATGACTATGATTGACTATGTATACCAGCATTTCATAGCTCATTCGAAAATTCAAGGCCAATCATTAGAATTCAGTAGATGTATATTATACATTATTATACATATTTTTTGTAAACACATTGTTAAACACATGAATTAGATAGTAATGTAATGAAAGATTACCCTCTGGTAATTTGTTACATAGCTCTTGAAAATGGCTATTTATAGTGGATTTTCCCATTAAAAATGGTGATTTTCCATAGTTCTGTTGTTGTTTACCAGAGGGTATATATTCATCAGATTATCTATCAGCAGTCGATTTCACCGCCCAGGCCCTCAGCGAGCTCCGTGGAGGTCGCCTAAGCTGCGTAGGCCGGAGTTTTTTTTTGAGAATAGGACAGTGTCGTCAGCCATGTGAGATAGCCATAGATAGAATACACACACATATAATATATATATACATAATATAGTGTATATATATATATATCTATGTATATATGAGAAATTATAGAACACACATATATATATATATAATATTTATTTATACATAGCTATAGATATAGATAATCCAGATCTTATGTACTTGGTAATCTAACAGTTGGCTACGGGATATCACCATTTTGAATAGGTAAATCAACTACAAAAGGTCATTTTCCATATGGTAGGTGATCCCAGGGTTTATCATGTGGGATCCATCCTAAGAATCTAGATCATTCTAGATCTAGATATGATATGTATACCTATAGGTATACATTTATATTTGCCATATATACCCTCTGGTAAATAAACATAGACCCTGAAAATCACCCATTTTTAATGGAAACTAGTCTTCCAACCCCTATCTGCCAGGGTCTATGTTAGTTTACCAGAGGGTGATATAAATACACTCAAATCGCTGCGATGGTGACAGGTTGGGGACGCTACGAGCTGCCGGGACACTTAGTCGCGGCTGAGTTTGATCCGCCATTGGGATTTTCCCAGCGAACCAAACCCCCTGGATGTTCCATGGCCAAGTTTGATTTTTCGGGTACCCTCTGGTAAACTAACATAGCTATGGTAAATGGCCATAGAAATAGTGGATTTACCTATTAAAAATGGTGATTTTCCATAGCTATGTTAGTTTACCAGAGGGTAACTGAAAAAAATCAGCTGCTATTCAATATTGAATCTAAGTGGAAGCATGTAGAAGGAATAATCTCTTCCACATGGTTGCGCTGAGATTCAATATTGAAAGTCAACCGATCCCACTGCGATAATCCACTTCAGACCGGAAAGGGGGCTGCAATCACCAGATTGCATTCCCCAGGCATTGTTGAATGCCAACAACGTCAGTACCATTACCATCGATTATACATATATAATCATATTATATATATATTATAACTATATATAGATAATCGTATGTGATCAATGTCCAATATATATATATTATGGATTATTATGGATTCAAACAATTTTTTCCATTGACTACCATTTTTGATCAATATCCCGAATGTTTGCTTGGTGAATTTCCCACCCTTACAGGGCTCTGCCAGGCGACGCCGGAACGGAGATTTCATTGCTGCTTTTCGTGGCGCGGCGGATAGAACGACGCGGGTTTATCTCATGTTTGTTTCCTGAATCCAAAAAAAATACATTAGATAATCACTAGATTAATATTCTTATATTCATATCCATGTAAGCCCTTATGACAAGGTCCGGATTAATGATTTGGGTGTGTGAAAACTGAGCACCTAAGCGCATGAATATATATTAATATCATTTCTACTTGGTGGTGTGGATCATTTTTTCCATATATTGGGAATAGTAGCTCCAACTGACTAATATTTTAAATTTCAGAGGGCTTGAAACCACCAACCAGATTTCAAACTCCAAACTTCCTTGTCATCCATCATGGGTCCAGTTGGTCGTCCAAGCTGTGGAAATACTGCAGAGGCATCGGAGTTTTTAGGAATTTCTAACCCATAGGATCAATGTATGGTATATATATGCTAACATTTGGGGTATATTGATGGTAAATGTCATCATATATAGCATACATGGATCCTATGGGTAACTGGTTGGTGGTTTGGAACATGACTTTTATTTTTCCACAATATATGGGATGTCATCCTTCCCAACTGACGAAGTCATATTTTTCAAGATGGTTCGAATCCCACCAACCAGCTAAAGAACATCTTAAAATCCATGGCCTGGTTTTCCAAAGATCTGTGCAAAATTGCTGACCCTTTTTCGTGTTGAATCAAAGATGGCAATGAAAAATCATCTTTTACAGATGATTTCGTTACGATGATTTTCCCAGCAGACTAAACCATACTAAACCATTATAAACCTACACATTCATGATGGGATTTTACTGGATTTTACTTCCAAAAATCTATGGGATTTCCCATGGGATTTAACCCACCCGATTTTCTCAGGTGCCGAACCGCCGTCGCCAGAATGTCTGGCCTTCACCTCGTCAGCGGCACCCAGTGGCATCAGCGGTTCCAGCGGAGGAAATGGATGGAGCTTGAGAGCTACAAAAAATCATCGAGTGATGGGGAAAGTGATGGGAAAATTCTCATGGCTTTGATGGTTTACTAAATGATCAAAGCCATTTATCATCTATAGAAATTTAATGAAATTTATCATGGGTTTATCATGAAATTTATCATTTATCATCTAAATGATCTAAATGAAATAATATCATAAATTATCTATCATGTGCCCGGCACGGGCAATTTAACATAGGGAAAATGGGGACCATTCAGTTCGATGGTTCACGCACCAGAAACTGTGATTTTCCATAGTGATGCCAGATTGCCGCATTTATCAATATTTTGATAGGACTGTATTTTTCTATGTTCTTTGATTCGTTGTGATACTCATCATCAAATGATAGCGGTACAAAACCAATGAAAACCATGGTTTAGTGGTGAAATGGTTGGATATGGTTGGATATAAAGCCAGCTTGATTGGACAGGTGGGTGGGTCTGAAAATGGAGGATACCTATCAAACGATTTTTGGGTTCATGAAACGTACATTTTGGGCTTGAGACATGCTTCGAGGGAGGAGTTTTGCAAGGCATCAGGCTCAAGCAGTTTTGTCACCGCGAGAAACACCGAACCCTGGAGACGGCACGGAGACATGTCGATTTCACGCTGCTTCAGCAAGATCCCTTTAATCTTCAACAAGTTTCATCATCATGACCTCAAAACCATGCATTACCCACATCATTTCACACAGCTCAGTTGAACATGTTCAGCCCCACACATGCACACGCACGCACACACACACACACCAATTTATATAATTATTTATATTATATATGCATATATATATATACATACATACATGTACACATATATGCGCACATGCGCACACACACATATCTATATCTCTATCTATATGTATATAGATAGATAGATAGATAGATAGATAGATAGATGGATAGATAGATAGATAGATATGCTCACACCCCTAGAACCTACCAAAACAATGTTTTACAGTAACTGGTATTTACAACCATATATCGACATATTTAGATATATGTAGCTAGAGATATACATACACACATATATATATATATACTCTCTGTATTGCATAGATATAGTTATAAGTTATAAATATAGATATATCATATACACGTAGATATATGTTATACCTGCATCCACTTGTTTGATTAAGTCACTGTTCCCCCATCACGCCCTGGGCAGCAACGCTATGGCTGCTCCAGCTGTGACGACTCTGGCCCTCGCGGGGCCCAACGCCCGAAATCCGGGAGATTGGCCGTGCCAGTTCTGCAAAAAGGTGCAGTTTTCCCGTGACTTGTCGTAGGATCTTGGGAGGAACTGTTGGGAAACAGACCATTTCAGTGGCAAAAATGGATTGAAACATGATGAAACATGAGGTACTGGTAATGTGGGTAAAACTGGCTGTCATGCTTACCATCCCCCAGTCATCACCATTTTGATCGGTGGCTTTTGAGCCATTCCGTAATTTCACATAGCAATGGAAAATGAGCCATTTAGTTCGATGATGTACCTACTACAATGTGGTGATCTCCTATAGCCATGTTAGTCAGAGGGTGCCATGCGGTGCCGCTTCAGCTTCAGTAGGCAAGTGTTGCTGTGGGCCAATATGTTAGTCTAAAGCAATAACACAAAACCGCCCATATGTTGATGGTTTATACCACCCATTTATGGCCAAATTGGGGATGGTATGGGATGGTTTTTCTCTAGTGACTTTGGCAACTTTAAATCGATAGTATATAATCCAGAAAATCAGGGATCTATAGGGATCCAAGATCATCCCTATGTCATTGGCATGAAACCCATAAAAAAAGAGTCGGGTTTTGTGGGAACGATCATCCCAAAAAGAAAATCACTGGCAAACGGATCAGGGGATCATCACAAGTTCACCCATGTCTAGATGAGACCTGGGGGCCATGAAAATCGGGACCGAAGCCGAAGCTGGATCCGGAGGATCCGGTTTGGGGTTTGGTTAGTTTGGTGAACCCCAGTTCCTCATCGTTCCTCATCGTTTTTTTTATCGATCCTGCTGAGGTGATATCAGCTGCAAAGATTGCGGGGCCCGCAGGCCCATCTCAGGCACCTATGGCACCCCCTTGCCTGCGGCCGAAGAAAATCCGCTGCAATCCCCGACAGGATCGATGGGATGCTGCCGGACTGGTGTCATGAAACGTGTTGGCTGGCGAATCCGGAGCTAAATGGAGGTTACTGTAAGATAGCTAGGAAAATCATACCCTCTGGTAAACCTTTACATAACGAACTGGAAAATCACCATTGTTGATGGGAAAATCCACGCACTAAATGACTATTTTCAATAGCTATGTTTGACATAACCAGAGGGTATTTTCCTGGGGAGGGCCATTTATTTAGGGATTTTTTTTTTTTTAGTTTAGGGATTTTTTTTTGGATTTCTTCCTGCTTACTCTATTGCCTCCTGCAGTGCTTCTCTGCTTCTTTGCTTCTATTCCTTTTTTTTGTTTTTTTTTTACTTTTCTTTGCTTTTTTGCTTTTTTGCTTCCCTTGCTTTTCTTTGTTTTTTTGCTTTTTTGCTTTTTTGCTTTTCTCGCTTTTCTGCTTTTCTTTGCTTTTTTGCTTTTCTTGCTTTTCTTTGCTTTTTTGCTTTCCTTGCTTTTCTTTGCTTTTTTGCTTTTCTCGCTTTTCTGCTTTTCTTTGCTTTTTTGCTTTTCTTGCTTTTCTTTGCTTTTTTGCTTTTTTGCTTTTCTTTGCTTTTTTGCTTTTCCATGAGGTGTGGAGCAACATCTTCTATCCATCTATATCCATCTATATCTATATCTATCTATATCTACGTATCTATATCTATCTATGTCTATCTATATCTGTATCTATATCTACATCTATGGCTGTATCTATATATCTATATACCTATATATATCATATATCTATATAATTATCTATATATATATCTATATATATATATATCTATATATATATATATATATATATCTATATATCTATATATATCTCTATATATCTCTATATATATATATATCTATATATTTCTATATATCTCTATATATATATCTATATCTAGATATCTATATACATATATATCTATCTATCTATATATCTATCTACCTATCTATCTATCTATCTATCTATACATATCTATCTATATATCTATATATCTATATCTCTGTCTATATATATACTATATATCTATATATCTATATATATATATATATATCTCTATATATCTGTATCTCTCTCTCTCTCTATATATATATATATTTATATACCACCATATATCTATATATCTGTATATATCCATCTATATTTCTATATGTATATATACATATATCTTTATATCTATATATCTTTAAATCTATATATCTATTTATCTATATATATATATATATATCTACCTAAAAGGTTTGCATTATCATGCGGATGATATTCAAACCCCAAGCCAACCCTGAACCAAACCTTATATAAATAGATCTTAAACCAACTCGATGATAACATCAAATGAAACTATTGTGCATCGTTGTGCCTTAACCTACATTCCACATGTTTCCAAGGTGCATGTCGTGTAGTATATACACCTTGAGTATCACATTCAACCTAGCACCTTGCATGTGAAAATAGGTGTTTCCAATCTGCTTTGGGGGGGAGGCGCTGCGCCCTTGTTTTTGTTTCGACCTAATACCTACATAGGTACATGCATGAGTATTGAGCACATTTATATGCGCCCTTCAAGGCTCAAGAGGTATATAGAGTAACCCTGTAGACAAGCACAGACCGGCAACAGGCTGAGTAAAACAAGTGCTGTCATTGGGGAAGACGCCTTAGCTGATCTTGAAGTAGACGCTAGGGCCCCTCTTCAAGTGGTAGCGGAGCACTGATCCCTCATTGAGGGTGAGCTCCAGGTAGAGCCCAAGAAATGGCAAGCCATGGCTATGATGATGATGACTTCGACATTGTCGATGCAAATGAATGGAACCAATATGACTCTTATGCAATGAGAAGAGCACCCCAGCATACACAGATTCATATGACGCAACAGATGACCACAAAGGTTGCTCCAGCCTATGATGGGCGAACCAGCTTCTTTGCTTTTGAGGATGCAATCGATGACTGGTGTGACATTACGGAGTTAGAACCAGAAAAACGTGGTCCAGCATTGCGCAACAGACTGGAAGGAGATGCTCAACAATACAAGAGGCTATTGGATAGAGAATTACTCAGGGATCCCTATGAAGGAGTGGCTTATTTCAAAAGATTTCTACGACCTCATTTCATCAAAGGTGCCCAGAACGTGTTCTTATACCGTTTCATGCAGTTCATGAAGTTCAACAGAGGAACCATGGATCTTCAGAAGTGGATGACTAGATTTCAACTCACTGGCAATAGACTTATTGAGTCTTGGATGGATTTACTTCCAGAAGTAACAGTGACTAGTCCTGAAGCAATTCTGTTTGTTCAACAACGACGTCAAGAACATGAACGAGATCAACAAGAGAGAGCTGAAGTAGCAGCAGCCTCAGGAACACCCCATGTAGCTGTTCCTTGGACAGATGAACTGGCACTAGCGGCATTCAGACAATTTCAGGAAAATCGTAGAGAAGCACAGCGACAAGCATTCCCACTGGGTGAAAATTTGCTAGCATTGATTTTTGTAAGTCTAGCTGACCTGAGTCAAGATCAGAGAAACACACTCACAAGTATCATGACACATCGTGGACGAACCCTCGATCGATACAGTATTCAAGAACTACGTGACCTGTTTTTGGAAATGTTTTGCACTACCAAAACAGCAGTTGACAATCCATTGATGCAACCCTCTGGCATGGCACAGAGAAGATCTTTCCTCGTACTGGATGAAGGTGAATTAGAAGGAACCGACGGCTATTGGGCCGAAGATGAAGAAGACGGCGCAGAAGGATTCCTGGATGCTTTAGAAGATGTTTTCTGGGTTTATGATGACGCCAACTTCACATGGTATCAGAGAAGGTTCCAAGGCAAATACATCAGACGAGGCAAAGGTAAAGGAAAGAGAAAAGGAAAAGGAAAAGGCAGAGGAGGACGAAGGTTCTTCAAATCAAGAAAAGGAAAAGGCCGAGGAAAAGGAAGAAGAAAAGGCCGTGCTCACATGGTGAGTGAAGAAGGTTATGAAGATAAATGGCAAGAAGATGAATGGAATGAAAACTATGACGGCTATTGGGCCGATGATCAAACCTGGAATGAAGGCTATTGGGCCTATGATGATCTGTACTACATGGATGAGTATGGATACTTCCAGAAGAAAGGAAAAGGAAAAGGAAAGAAAGAAAGGCAAGAAAGGCAAGGATGATGATGGAAAAGGAGGAAAGCCAGGAGATGGAAAAGGCAAGTCGAACTATGTTCAACCTCAGACCACATCAGCTCCTGCCATACAGAATCAACCAACTCAACAAGCTCATTATTCTTCTGCAGCTTCAAGTTCTGGTCATGGTTTCTTTTCATTTGGAACAACTGAACCAGCACGTGTTGATGTTGCAGAGACAGAGCCAGCTCGTGTTGATGTTTTGACATCCACGTATGCAGCACAAGATGAACAACGACGTACTCGTCGTGGAGGACAGAACCAACGTGATGCAAGAGCACATCAAAACAGGAGAGAAATGAAGAGATTCCCTGTTCTGGTTGGAGAAGTTGGTGCACTACGACAAGGTGTACAACAACGTCCAGCTGTAGTGCCCAGGCAAGTTGGTCTTCAAGAAGGTGAGGCTTCATGGAAGCCATTGGCAGAAGGCACATCATTGTTTTCACATGGATGCTCTACAGAGATAGAGGAACCATCACAGCAGAGTGCTTTTTCATTTCATACTGTACAAACTGATCTGGCATGTGAGAATGGACTAGCTTTTCACACAGAGAATTCTGCACCACCAACTGTGTGTATTCTGGATCTTGGATGCACAAGAGCTATGGGCTCTCGACGAGCAGTTGAAGCATTTTGCAGATATGTTGACTCACATCCCAACAGTGGACTCTGGTATGAAATTCAGCCAACAAGTTCAAGATTCTTCTTTGCAAACTCACAACAATCAAAATGTACTGAGAAGCTCGTGATATTCATGTATGATCATGGATGGAACACTCAGTTTACAGAATTCGACATTGTCGAAGAAGGTGATGTCCCATTGTTGATGTCACTTCCACAGATGAGAAACCTTGGATTTCAATTTGAACTTACTCCAGAGAAGGCTTATTTGTCCTGTGCACGCATATTGGCATTAGTACTCATCTCATTCTCGACCTACAAGATGTAGCATGGTACATGAGCCAAGTTCATTTCAAGACTCCACAAGTCAAAAGTTTCTATTCACAACACGATCACTTTGAGTACAGCCAGATTGCTGTCAAACAAGATGATCATGAAGGAGAAGCTTTGGTGACTGGTGACTACTGGCAGGTTGATCCACTACGTCGTGAACTCATCAGGCACCACAAGGACAAGAGAATGAACTTACATGAGATGACTCGATCAGAGAAAACTCCAATTCCAAAAGATCAACTTCTTGATGAGAGAGAAACCCACATGGAATTCCAGAAGAGCAAGAAGAAGGTTCTTCACAAGGACAACTGGCGCACTGAGAAGAAGAGGTTTTCTGAACAGAGTGAAGAGTTCTGGAAGGGCAAGACCATCTACAAGATCAAGGAGGACTACGTGATCCCAGATGACATTGTCAGAAGTGACATTGATCGTGCAAAGCCCTTTCGTGGAAACATTGATGATCTTTTTCACCCTGAGTCAGCCTCTTCAGTGCCATCAGGTGTACAGAAGAAGAAGCCAAGCTCCTTAAAGAAGGAGGAAGGCAAACCGATTTCAAATGGACCAGGCTCGAAAAAGATTGAGGTAGGTCCACCTGCAGCCAAAAGACACGTAGGTAAGCAGAAACCTCAGGTTGTCGATGACTCCCAATCAGGTTCATCAAGAAAGAAGGTTGTTGTCTCCTATCCCAAGCTTGATGAAGAAGATGAGCTTGATAAGGTAGCTAGGGAGTTAGGTTTGGACAAAATTGATTCAGATGAACCTCAAGTCATTGAACCAAAACATTCTGCACCTGCGCGCAGCCGTGGTAAGCAAGATTCAGAAAGTCAAGTTGGGAAACTAGGTAGTGATGCTCTTGAGC